AATCATTATTTATAATGATTAATAATAATAATTATCATCATTATCAATAGTGATGATTATTTCTGCCACTTGGTTGGGATCTGAGGGTTCTGAAGTTCTCCACGGAGGTCCTGGGACAATCCTTGAACTTGAACCTCAGTTTATGGAAAAAAGTTTAAAATAAAATCAAATTGGTTTAAAATGGGATAAAGATAAGGGAGGTGGATGTGGCCTCTTTTTAAAGAACATCAAGTCCAAGTTCCTCCTTAAACATCCAGAATAAACCAGGTGTTCTTTTTGTTTGGCTGTTCTAAAACTTATCCCAACTTCTGGTTTGAAATTATCTTCAACTTCTCAGCCTAAATTCAACGCTCAGTGGGATGGGATGGGATGGGATGGGATGGGATGGGGATGATTTTATTGTCAGGCTTTTCCCTCTTTTTAGGTTAAATAGCTCTTCCTCCATTCCCAGGTTTCCCCCCAAATAAATTCAAACAGTAAATTCAATTCACAGCAGCTATTTTTAGCTTTCTCCCACTCCCTCTTTCCCTGCACTCCTTTCCCTACACATTCCTCCAAGTAATTTTTTCTGAATGAGATTACAGTTTCTTAAAAAAAAAAAATACCAATGAAAGGCTTTTCACTGCATTCCTTCCATTTAAACCCATCATTTTTGGGATTGTTCTTGGGATCATTCTCAAGGCCATAAATGATGTAATTGTAATATCTTCTATACCACCAATGATAAGATAAGAATACAAAATCTAAAAGCTAAACTTTGTCTATAAATATTCTCTCTGTCTATATAAATAGGAGAAGAAAGAAAAGTTTAGGTGTTTGATATTTAAATTAATGCAAAGAGATTCATGACCCACATACACTTATTTTTTAAAAATTCCTTCTTCCTCAGTGGATGAAGGAATTAAACTTCATTCATTAAACTCCTGTGTGGTTTTTTCCTCTCTTTTATCATTGTGGGTGTCACACCAGTTTGGAAATCATCAAGATGATTCCCAAAGGTGTTTTAGGGTGGTTTAGATTATTCCCAAAGATGGTTTAGGTGGTTTAGGGTGGTTTAGGTTGGTTTAGGGTGGTTTAGGATGGTTTAGGGCGGTTTTGGGTGTTTTAGGATGGTTTAGGGCAGTTTAGGATGGTTTAGGGTGATTTAGGTTATTCCCAAAGGTGGTTTAGGATGGTTTAGGGTGGTTTAGGGTGGTTCAGGATGGTTTAGGTGATTCCCAAAAATGATTTAGGGTTTACTTTGAGTGCTGGTGAAACCCAGAGAAAAACTTTCCAACTATTTCCTAATGAGGAAAGAGTTAAGGAAAGAGTTAAGGAAAAAGTTAAGGAAAGAGTTAAGAAATCCCACTGCAGTTTCTGTGAGATTTGTCTGGGATATATTTAAATGTGGGAAACTTGGAAGAGAGCTGAAGAATGTCAGCTGGATGCTGTGTCCAGCTGTGGAATGTCTTCCTGGTGGTGAGAGGCTCTGCTGGGGTTTGCAGGTAGAAAATTTCCTTTGCAGCTGCCTGGGGAGGGCAGGCCTGGAGGTGTAGAGCTCCTCCAGAACTTTACACCAATATTTACACTACAAATTTTGGAAAGCAAATCAAATCAAAACAAATTTGATCCCATACCTTCCTGAAACACCCTTGGAACCCCAAGAATTAGAGCTCCTGGGTTCTGTGAAAATGCATTTTTGTGTTCATTTTAAATAGATCAGTCTAAAGCTTGGGATGTTTCTCCCTATCATCCTGTGTATAAAAATCAAACCTTTTGGTGCAATTCTTCTCCTGGCAGCCTTTCTAAATCCAGTAATGCCCCCCTGCAGCTGCCATCAGGAATGGTTTTAGTTTATAAAGATCAAGCCTAAGCCTTTAATTGCTAAGGTTTTTTAATTAAAAGATTTTTTTTAGTATGGGTATGTACGTGGTAATTTGATAATAATTGTATTAATCATGATACCTTTCAATGTGTGCAGAGATTATTTATTAAGTCCATTAAACAAGGGGGTTTGGTGGAAAAGAGAATCCCCAAGGCTTTTCCCAGAAGGGAATATCCATCAATCCAGCTCCCAGCAGCAGAGGTGTCCCTGCCCCAGCCCCTTCTGGCAGGGAACATTTTGTGTTCCCCAATCTCCTCACACCAACAACAGAAGAGGAGCCCTAAAAGGAGCCCCATTTTTGCATTTTGGGGAAAAATTCTTCCTGGCAAGGGTGCCCAGGCCAGCAACAGAAAAGGAGCCCTGAAAGTCCTTCAAGTCCCGTTTTTGCATTTTGGGGGAAAAATTCTTCCTGGCAGGGGTGCCCAGGCCTTGGCAGGAGCTGCCCAGGGAGGTTTGCAGTGCCCATCCCTGGAGGTGTCCCAGGAATTCTGGAGGTGGCACTGAGGGCTCTGGGCTGGGGACAGGGTGGGCATGGGCACAGCTGGGATTCCCTGGGCTGGGAGGGATTTTCCAGCCTCAGAGATCCTGGGATTGTGTAGAGCTGAAAACAAGCACAGATGAAGCACCAGGCCTGGCTGCTCAGCACCCACCACTTGAGGGCTGGAGTGCTGAGGAACCTTCCTCAGTGGCACAAATCATCTGAGTGGGCACAGAAGCTTCCACCCTTCCCTTTCCATCCATCCATCCATCCATCATCCATCCATCCATCCATCCATCATCCATCCATCCATCCATCCATCCATCCATCCATCCATGCATCCATCCATCCATCCATCATCCATCCATCCATCCATGCATCCATCCATCCATCCATCCATCCATCCATCCATCCATCCATCCATCATCCATCCATCCATCATCCATCCATCCATCCATCCATCCATCATCCATCCATCCATCCATCATCCATCCATCCATCCATCCATCCATCCATCCATCCATCCATCCCTCCATCCATCCATCATCCATCCATCCATCCATGCATCCATCCATCCATCCATCATCCATCCATCATCCATCCATCCATCCATCCATCCATCCATCCATCCATCCATCATCCATCCATCCATCCATCCATCCATCCATCCATCCATCCCTCCATCCATCCATCATCCATCCATCCATCCATGCATCCATCCATCCATCCATCATCCATCCATCATCCATCCATCCATCCATCCATCCATCCATCATCCATCCATCCATCCATGCATCCATCCATCCATCCATCATCCATCCATCATCCATCCATCCATCCATCCATCCATCCATCCATCCATCCATCATCCATCCATCCATCCCATCCAGCTGGGTGTTGCCTGGTGATGAGCACAGCTCTGTGCACAGCCCCTGACTCAGGAGCTGTGTTATCACAACTGGAGGGCAGAGTTTTCCAAGGACAAAGGTTTCCAAGGGCTGCTCACGAGCGTGGAGCCCAGACCATTTCCCACCCCCTGGTCTCCCGCATTCCCTCTCCCAGGCTGCAGGAGCAGCTGCAGGAGGCAGGGCAGCCAGGAGGAAGGCAGGCAGACAGCTGTCAGCCTGTGAATCAGCCCCTGCACCCCGCTCTGGAGGAGAACTTTGGGCTCCCGCTGCAGAACAAAGAGCAGCTGCTTCTGACACTTGCAGCTTTCCTCTGATGAGGGAGTGGGATTTGCAATTGCAGATCCCGTGTAGGGAAAATGAACTCAAACAATCCGTGGAAAATATTCTCTCCTGCCTTCTCTTCATTGATCAGGTCACTGTGAAAATAGAGCCACTGAGAAAATGAATCCTCTAGGAGAATAAACCCTAATTTTCTGTAAAAGGAGAGCCAAAACCCTTCCTGATGGCAGCTGCAGGGGGGGCATTACTGGATTTCGAAAGGCTGCCAGGAGTAGAATTGTACCAAAAGGTTTGATTTTTATACACAGAGGGATTGGGAGAAACATCCCAAGCTTTAGACTGATTTATTTAAAATGAACACAAAAATCCATTTTTTACAGAGCCCAGGAGCTCTAATTCTTGGGGTTCCAAGGGTGTTTCAGGAGGGTATGGGATTAAATGAGAATGAGAGGGAGTGTGTGGGATCCCTTGAAGGAGGGAATGAGGATTACAGGGGTGTGTGGGATCTCCTGAAGGAGGGAAAGTTGAAATGAGGATAAGGGGGATGTGTGGGATCTCCTGAAGGAGACAATGAGTGTTACAGGGGTGTGTGGGATTCCTTGAAGGAGAGAATGTTTTAATGGGGATCAGGAGTGTGTGGGATCTCCTGAAGGAGGGAACGTTGAAATGAGGATGAGTGGGATGTGTGGGATCTCCTGAAGGAGAGAATGCTGAAATTAAGATGAGGGGGAGTGTGTGGGATCCCTTGAAGGAGAGAATGTTTCAATGGGGATTAGAAGGAGTGTGTGGGATCTCCTGAAGGAGGGAATGAGGATTAGAGGGGGTGTGTGAGATCTCCTGGAGGAGGGAATGTTGAAATGAGGATGAGGGGGATGTGTGGAATCTCCTGAAGGAGGGAATGTTAAAATGAGGACGAGGGAGATGTGTGGGATCTCCTGGAGGAGGGAATGTTGAAATGAGGACGAGGGGGAGTGTGTGGGATCCCGTGTCTGCTGTAAATGTAAGAGGACTGGAACACCCCGGCAGATAGGCGGGCTCCTGGTTTCATTGTGTGCGGTTTGAAGGCAGCGAGTGCTGAGGAAGGAGCAGAGCTCGGCTGGGGCAGTGTCTGTGTGTGCTGCAGCGCTGAGGGACGGGACGGGATGGGACGGGACGGGATGGGACGGGACGGGACGGGACGGGACGGGACGGGATGGTTTCTTGGCCAGGCTGGGAAGGAGCAGAGCTCGGCTGGGGCAGTGTCTGTGTGTGCTGCAGCGCTGAGGGACGGGATGGTTTCTTGGCCAGGCTGGGAAGGAGCAGAGCCAGCCGTGAGTCACTGCAGCCACCACAGAGGTTGGGTAAGAAGCGCAGCAGCACAATTGGAGCAGCCCCGTGACCTCAGAGCCGAGCTCTGTATTTAAGATCTGGCTCGCAGATGTTGCGGGAGGCTGGGGCCGTGCGGAGCAGCTGCAGAGGCACAGCCAGCCCCGAGATGCTCGCACTGCTGCTCCTCTCTGCCCTGCTCTGGGACCGGGCTGCAGCCTGGGGCTTCAGGGATGGCGTGCTGCACAACTCCATCTGGCTAGGTAAGAAACCTGCCCCTCGTCACCCGGCCCGTGCTGCGGGCTCGCTGCGTTTGCCCGGCAGCACAAAACTCAGCTGCGCATCCATACCAATATTTATCTGCACTGAAATTCATTGAAATCGCTTCATCTGAATAGCAACTGGCCCTTTTTACAACCTTACAATTTCACTGAACTGCGGGAAAAGGTATTTATTTATTTTAGAAAGGTAATTATGGAACATATAATCTGAATGTATTTTCCTGCAGGAAAAGTTATTTATTTATTTTTAAAAAGTAATTATAAAATATATAATCTGAATGCATTTTCCTGCAGGAAAAGTTATTTATTTATTTTAAAAAAGTAATTATAAAATATATAATCTGAATGTATTTTCCTGCAGGAAGAGTTATTTATTTATTTTAAAAAGTAATTATAGAACATTTAATCTGAATGTATTTTCCTGCAGGAAGAGTTATTTATTTATTTTTAAAAAGTAATTATAAAATATATACTCTGAATGTATTTTCCTGCAGGAAAAGTTATTTATTTATTTTAAAAGGTAATTATAGAACATATCATCTGAATGCATTTTCCTGCAGCGGGAGGTAAAGTGAAAACCGCGTTCATTAAATAACAGTGGCTTTGTTTTGAGGGAAAAGGAGCCTGAAAAGAAACATTTGCCAAAGGAATGAATTACTTTCTGCATGAACATACTTCCCATGCCTGGGGTCCAGCATGTGAAACTAAATGATGTGGAAATAACAGTGATAACATTTCCTGGCTCTCTGGAAAAGTGCAGAAACGGGGATGTTTGGGCTGTTCACGTCGTTTGGGGAAGGTTTCAAAAGGGCAAGACAAAAATGCTGTGGGAAGGTTTCTGGTACCTCCAGAGGGTCTCCAGAGCTCTGAGGGCTCTTTTATAGCTCGCTGTAATTATCCATTACAGCAGAGAGCTAACCCAGCCTAGAGCCCGCCAGAGGATGCCAAAATCAAGGCACGCAGCGAGCGCTCTGTTTTCCAGACAAATGCTTCCAAATCCCCCATCCCCACAGAGTGCTGTGGATTTCCCTGAGGATTTCCAGGAATCCCTGGAGCTGGCAGTGCTCAGGTGTCTCGTGAGCCAGCACCACGTGGCTCCAGCCCCTCTCAGAGGAGTCTGCAAAGCCCCAGGAGCACAAACGAGGCACAGAAAGGATCCTTTTCCATTGGGCTGCTGTTTTGGTTTGGAAAGACAGGTGCCTGCTGAGGAAGGCAGGAGCTTCCCCTGAAATGGAGAATGTAACCCACCCCTCTCCAAATTGCTATAAATTTTAAATTAAGGGGCTCTCAGGCAAAAAATATGGGAGCAGGAAATAACAATAAGTAGTTATTAATAGTTATTGTTAGAAATAACAATATATAGTTATATAACTTATATATGAAGTCATAAGTTCTTAAGAAATAACAAATAAGTTCTTTAATAGAGAAGAAAATAAAAGGATAAAATAAACAATGCAGTAAACTAAAAACAACACTGCCAGAGTCAGAACCCAACCTGACACCCTGTGGGTCAGGGTGTTGGCAGCAGAACCATTGGAATTGTGGCTGCAGGGCTGGTTCTGCTGGAGCAGGGATCCTGGAGAATCCCATTGGAATTGTGGCTGAGCCCTCCTGCAGTGTCAGGGCTGGTTCTGCTGGAGCAGGGATCCTGGAGAATCCAATGGGAATTGTGGCTCAGCCCTCCTGCAGTGTCAGGGCTGGTTCTGCTGGAGCAGGGATCCTGGAGAATCCCATTGGAATTGTGGCTCAGCCCTTCTGCAGTGTCAGGGCTGGTTCTGCTGGAGCAGGGATCCTGGAGAATCCAATGGGAATTGTGGCTCAGCCCTCCTGCAGTGTCAGGGCTGGTTCTGCTGGAGCAGGGATCCTGGAGAATCCCATTGGAATTGTGGCTCAGCCCTTCTGCAGTGTCAGGGCTGGTTCTGCTGGAACAGGGATCCTGGAGAATCCAATGGGAATTGTGGCTCAGCTCTCCTGCAGTGTCAGGTGAGGTTCTGCTGGAGCAGGGATCCTGTAGAATCCCATTGGAATTGTGGCTCAGCCCTCCTGCAGTGTCAGGGCTGGTTCTGCTGGAGCAGGGATCCTGGAGAATCCCATGGGAATTGTGGCTCAGCCCTCCTGCAGTGCCAGGGCTGGTTCTGCTGGAGCAGGGATCCTGTAGAAGGGTTCAGTCTCTTCCTCTGAAGATCCAGTGGAAGAAGAGGCAGCTGCTGTTCCTCTGGGGAATCCAGTGCAGAAGCCGTGCTGGTTTTCCAGAATCTCCAGATTATATCCAGGTAGGAATGCGTGGCTGGTGTTCCAGAATCTCCAGATTATATCCGGGTAGGAATGCTTGGCTGGTGTTCCAGAATCTCCAGATTATATCCAGGTAGGAATGCGTGGCTGGTGTTCCACAATCTCCAGATTATATCTGGGTAGGAATGCTTGGCTGGTGTTCCAGAATCTCCAGGATTATATCCAGGCAGGAATGCTTGGCTGGTGTTCCAGAATCTCCAGATTATATCCAGGCAGGAATGCTTGGCTGGTGTTCCAGAATCTCCAGATTATATCCAGGCAGGAATGCTTGGCTGGTGTTCCAGAATCTCCAGATTATATCCAGGCAGGAATGCTTGGCTGGTGTTCCACAATCTCCAGATTATATCCGGGTAGGAATCCTTGGCTCCTCCCTCTGGGCTCACATCTCCCAATGGGATGCTGTAGTTGTTATCAGCCATGCAGGGACATTCAATGGCTGTTATCAGCAGATGTGCCCCCAGAGGGAGGAGGGATTGTGGAAGAGATAAGGAAACTGCTCTTTTAATGGCTTCTCCTCCCCCCCAAAGCTCGGGCCCTGCCTGCTGTGCCTCACAATTCCTGAGGCTGCTCAGGTGGGGAGGGCTCCAGGAAAGAGCAGCCTGGGAGCTCCAGGCTCCACCTCTGCTGGTCAGAAATTTGGGATAAAAGCCATCATTTGAGCAGTTTCATGAATTGAAGGCAAATCTTTTAAAATGCTTTAAAATGGAGCGACTGTGTGCTAATTGGAATGCATCATAAAATTCTGTTTGGCTACGCCTCTACGCATTTAGCAGGAGAGTAAACAAAAATAAACCAGGGGGTAAAAAACCTGATGGCTTTTGCTAAGTAAACACACCAAAATAGAAATGCACCATCTTGTGTAAGTGCAGCAATAACATTGCTGAAATGAACCTCAGAGTGCAGTTAATTCAGTTACCAATGGAATTCAGTGACTCTGTATATAAATGAAGATAAAATTGGCAAATTCGCAGCCATCCAGTTCATGCTTCTTTGCATTTAAAATAAAATAACTTGAATAGTGAAGGAAGTCACCCCAACCTCAGCCTCCCTGTGCTTGAGCATCAGTGGAATAAAAGCTGGGGATGCAAAGTGACATCTGAGCTCTGCTTTTCTCCTCTTCTGATAAAGAGCCAAAACCAAAATTCAGGAAAATTTCCGTTTTAGCTTTTTCCTCCGCAAACCCTTAGCATATATAAATATAATATTGATGTAATATATAAACATATAATAAATATATAAAGATATAATATGTATATTTTATTTTATACATAATTATATGTCCATAAGTATACATTAATATAAATAATTATGTATAAATATTTATATAAAAATATATACTATATAGATATATAATACATAATAAATTTATAATATATAACATTATGTATATAATAGATATATTATAAATATACAAAGATATTAAAATATTATATATATAATGTTTTAATATATGTTTTATATATATATATATATAAATCTTGAATTGCTGTCACTGGAAACGCTCCTTTTACCTTTCACCTTTTTCCTTTTACCTTTTTCCTTGTCCCAAAGCCCCTCCTGCTCCTCAGGCAGTGCTGCTGCAGCTGCTTCTTGGGGATGTGTTCCTGATGCCACTGGAATTTTGGTGCTGCTCCTTTTTGCCCATTGTGAGCAGGGGTTTTTTGCCAGCTGTGGGAGGGTTGGCACAGCCTTGCCCAGATTTGCTCCTGGGCTCATCCCAGTGCCAGTTCTCAGAGCTGTGGGGTTTTCCAGGCCAGCTGCTGCCCTCTGTTCACAATTCCAATTCCTTTCCCATTCCCACTCCCTGTCTCAGGGCGTTTAGGGGCTGCACCAACCCTGTTTGGTGAAGTTCTCTGAGCAGCAGAGGCCCCTGCCAGGAGCTACGTGGCCACCCTCTGCTTAAAAGTGAAATATTCCTCTTTATTTAGCACTTACCAGGGGTCTCATGCATATTGCAGGTCCTTTATCGGCCAAATTTCGTGCTGCCTGTGTTTGTGCAGCAGAGGCTGGCTGCACTTCAGCCCCTCCTGCTGCTGTGGGTGAGCTGAGGGTCACTGTCCTGGCAGGATCCCACTGTCCTGGCAGATCCCACTGTCCTGGCAGGATCCCACTGTCCTGGCAGGGTCCCACTGTCCCTGGGCTCCAAGGAGGCGTTTGGAGAAGTGGGACCCATGGCCCCATGGCACGTGCTTATGCTTGCCAGAAAAATCAGCATTTCCTGCAGGTTCATCCTCAGAGCTCCATGAACAGCAATTCCTGTGCATTTTCCTGTCAGTGTGGGCATGGAAACACGTCCAGAGCCATAAATATGGAAATGAGGAGTTCACCCTGCTCTGACCCAGCTCTGTGGCTGATGCTGAGTTTGTCTCCCTGCACAGTGGAATTAAGGAGGGAGGGGGGGGAATAGTGCCAGAGCAAGATCCCATCAGTTAATGGGGATTTTCTGTCAGTGTCACTGCCTGGGACACCCAGAGCTGGGGCAGGACTGTGTGGGGTCTGTTTTCCCAAGGCTGTTTTGCCATGTGGCAGAGGAATAAAAGGGATGGAGGCTGCTTGCTCCTCACAGGCTGCTGCTGCTGCTGCTCTCAGCCTTGCAGACTCTGTGAAGGGCTGACCTTCCCAGAAATATGTCCATTATTTGGCCTCTTTTCTGCCAAGGTCAGGATTAAATGTGTGAGATGGGATTTCTT